CTTTTAATGAGTAACCAGTTTAGGACAGACGTGGTTTTGTGGTGCTCTTGGTATCTTCCTCCAGCCATTGTCAGCTCAGACAAGCCATGGCCGTTGGAGAGTGATCATGAGACGCCACCTACTTGGAATTCGTGAACTTCAATGAGACCTGAAGTCACGGGTAACAGTATATTAACGAGAGACAACGGCCCCGTGCGTTGTATCGGGTGAGAGTGATGTTTTTAGCACAGCTTCCAGGTTTAAAACCGTAAGATCGAATGCACGTGTAGATAGAAGGTTATCATGCATGTTTCGGTCAGTAACTATTTCTATTATTTGTAGGGCTATGTTATAATAGAAGATGGCGTTCAGTGTAGCGATACTGACCTGGTGCAAGTCTGGCTCCACATGACTCTACTACAAAGAAACAGATTAAACTTTGCATTTAGTTTTGCCATGTTTAAGAGTTTGAGAACAAGACCTCAAGTTCGTGGAAGGGTGAGGGTCACTTGTGTAAGTGGTTGTTTACAAATAGCCCAAACAGCGCCCCGGGTTTCCACCAGTAATTGTAATATTGCACGAAACTTGGGCATTTTCTGTAGGATTGTTTTCGACTCACCCGAATCAGGGTATCAGGCAAATGACCGATAACTTTTCGCACTGGCTCAAGTTAGCACTTCTTTCTTGAGAAGCACAGTAATTGGTACAGTCCAAGCCAATTTGTCATCACTTCATAGGCTACATAGCCTACTACTAAGAACAAATGAAATTTGTTCTGTGCTAGACGCCTTTTTCAGTCCATTTTGAAAAGCTGTGGCTTTGGATTTTTTTTCTCCCCCAAACTTCTCATCTGAAATTGTAATAGCCTACGTTCGGTTGTCGTGTAAAAGCGGTAAAGCTCGCGCATAATTATATGTGACTTCCAGTTAATTCCACAACAATTTCAATTCCATTTGTTTAAACAAATTTAGACTATTTAAATAGCAAAGATATTTGATTGGAATATCTGAATTATAGATGATCTTCAGTGATGTCTAGAAACGTATTATTATTGTAAATAGAAATAACAGTTTAATGCCATTTAGAAATAGGCTAAACGTGCCGTTTTATAACAAAATAATTTTAAATCATGATCGTAGCAAAAAGAATGCATTCATCGAGTATAGTCCTCTTTTAATTTGCTTGAAAAAGCGGTTTTATAGAAGACATTGGCTTGTGATTAATAAAAGAAACGACAATGTCAGTTTGATGTGAAAATGTGATATTACTGTCGATTGGCCTTATACGCTTTGGTGCATTTAATTAGCACAGATTGTCTTTTCCCTGCATTTTGTCGCAGTGCAGTTGAGGGCCCACTTTAAAAAAATGTTTCCCCCTATATTGACGTACGATGCTGCCATTATAAAGGCTCTTTGAAAATATAGGTTTGGACAAGGTATGTGTATTTGTACGTTTTTAACTCCGTAACCGCTTAGATGAGTTTGTATACATACATACTGT